CTTAGTTATAAACACAAAAAATTTTATGATTTTTCATTTTCAATTTTTGTAAAATTTGCAAAAAAAGTTTTAGGGTAGTTCTGTATTTTCCGTATCATCTCCACCTTTTAATTTGAAATAATTTCACGGACAYGCTAAATAGTTCTATTTTTTTTTCTTGTAAAATGTTTTAGGAAATTTACTATTTCACTTTCAGAGGAATTTACATTTGCCCATTTTATAAAATGTTATGGTTATTATTATTGCTGCAACATATTATATTATATATATATATATATTGCATAGAACTGGTTATATGAAATATTATATAAATATTAAGTGAAATTGTACATAATAGATTTGCGTACGTACACTTATAAAATACGCTTCAGTGGCGGCGTATTTGGTTTTTTATGTACACATAATGTAATTTTTAAAATATTCTGAGCACAATGTGGGAGCTATAGGATTATTCGTGTAATAATATTCTTGTTATACAGAGTGCTTTTAACTTTTGCTAATAAATATTGCTTATTTTGATTTTACATAGATATTAATTTATAGATTAGTTAAAAAAAAAAAATCCTTTTATTTATACACCTTACCCTTATATATTTAAAAATTCAAAATCRATTTATTATTCGATAATAAATCGTATCAAAATAAAATAACTACTATAAAAGTATCGTTAAAGATTAAGTAAAATAATAACTGTGCATTTGTATTCATACCATGAAAAAATAATAAACACACTATTATTATCAAGTTCAAGTTTATATTATGTGCAAAAAAATTTTAATTACATAMTTTCTGAATGTTATTTTATAATATTATATGACTCATTATAAAAAAACATCAACATTTATGAAATGTTTATTTACTTATTAGCCAACATAATTAATTTTTATTTGTGTAGTAAAGTAACAGGAGTTTTGAGTCGAAAATATACACAACATTAAATATAAAACACAACAGTCCTCAGATTGCCTGATGRCAGGATTTTACGATTTCCCTAAATATTAAAACGAAATGGAAATAATTATATTCTCTGACAATCTATGAGGCCGCTGGGTAGGCATTGTGCGCACTTGTTTCGCGTTTAATTAATTTGTTAATAATACTAGTGGAGGTTTATTACTCGTCAGTCGTCGYGGCCTTATTGTACCGAAATTACASTCCATGATTACGGTCACATAATTAGACAACRTTTTCAAGATTGTGTACGAKCCTTTTGAGTAGACCTACGTTCGACGTAATAACATTATAATATATGTTAGATACCTATAGTTTAATAGTCATCAACTTACATCACTGTGAATCGCACACTCACAAATTTTATTTTATTATACTGTTAGTTTTGAATATACCTCTATATAATGTAAAACGTTAAATTCTTACGGAAAATAGAATTCTGTGTTTTCCAGAAATGCAGAGTCTCGCGGTTGTAAAGGATACGTTTATTCATGATGACATGATATAATAGCAATACTACTCGTAATATAGTCAAACCGTACTCCACATTTTGAAATTTTCAAAGTCTATATACCCGAGTACTCTGTGAGATTGGATATTGATAAAAATTTCTAATTCCACTGCTTTATAACTTAGGCTTGTAAAATTAATATAAACCCAAGAGTGTTCGATACAAAATTGTATATAATTATATCAAATATTATAAAATTAACCTACAAATAACATTTAGTCAGCTTGTAACAAGAAGCCGTTAGTCGGTATTTAGCGTGTTGCTCCGTCACGCACTCCGACGGAACGCATCGCCGTAAACACCGTTACCATCCACGGTTCACGTCAAACACCATTCAGAGAGCGTGCTATTATCGATAATCATATTGAACACGCTGTGGCCAGGTGCCAATTAAACAATTAACGATCTTACAAAGTATTAAATATTGATGAGAAATATGACAAACCACACTAGGAAGCTACTGGAGCAATATACGAACACATATCATAGCATTAAACATCTAGYGTTCAGTGCAGCAGAACCTAGTTTCTACCTACAGCCRTCGTCTCCTCACCTAAACGTAAACACCTCGACAGGGAACAGCGCCAAAACAGCAGTTCTTATTGCTAATTCCAACAGGGCAACAGCGCCCACAGATCGCCAACGTGCAGCGTTCGAAGTAGCAGACATCTGTTTCGTCGTTCAAAACACAGAGTCTGGAAAWCAGCAGTTATCACCGCTTCTCCAACAGGGCAACAGTGACCTCAGGTAAGCCACCACGAAAGCGTCGGTTCATCTAAATAACTGTACTCCTAACCAACTGTCGTGAAGCCGCGCCCTCACACCGCCGCAGTACCTTCCTGTTCTCCCAATCAGCTACCCCACACTCAAACGATCTTTTCAGAGCGACAGGTTTTTAATTTTTTTCCACTACCATCTCACTAGCTATGTGCTGTAATAGACCGCGTAAGCGAAAAGGTGGTAGCTTCGCTTATCATCCACCACAGGCGACTAATGTTCTGCACTAACGCTCATCACCTCCACCATCCAAATCCTCCGAATCTGAGACCCTGGAATCTTCTGATTCCTTCTCGGACTCCAGCTCAACAACTATGTCCACCATAACCGAACGCTTCGTTACATCACAAACATCCGTACCATCCTGTCACTTGTTAAACCTCCGCCCACACCAACTAAAATCCGACTTCCACCTATCGTCTTAAACTCCAGTGATTGGCGCATGATCGCGCCCAATAATTGCAAAATCCCTAACYTAACTCCTTCATCAGTCACTGCCAAATCTTACTCGAACGGACAAATTACCATTCAAACCGCCGACCCCTCTCACTTCCAGACTAGCCTGATACAGAATAAAATCGAATTACACACCTTCAGCCTCCCCGAAGAACGCACCCGTTCCGTAAGGTCGTTTTAAAGGGTGTTCCGATTGACATCCGTACTGACGAAGTAAAAAACGAATTTGAATCTCTTAATTTTTCTGTTAAATTTATAYGCCATTTTGGTACCCCCGACAAACCGATGCMTATATGCTTAGTGCACATCGCTGCTGCCCAAAATGTRAWAGACATTTTCCTTATAAATAATCTGTTTTACCTTAAAATCTCCGTTGAAGCTCTTAAATCCTCCGGTCTGGCTCAGTGTTTTTCATGCCAACGCTTTGGTCACGCTTCCAGTAACTGTGGCCATCCACCGAGGTGTATCAAATGTGCTGGCAATCATACAGCCAACGTTTGTACTAAAACTCGCAAACAAATACCAACTTGTTGCAAATGCGGCGGACCACATACGGCTAACTTCCGGGGTTGCTCACAATTCCAGCACAAAGGCAGCAAGTATCGCCTCCTACCACATTAAACGCGGCGAAACTGCCAACTCAAAACTCCTCTYCAACAAAACCACGATCCCCAAATCCCTCTACTCCTCCTACCACAAACAACTAACTCTTCAAAGACATAAATTATGCTGCAGCAACCACCGAACCAACACCCTCAACCAAACTTTTTGCACGGATTTAAACCAAATATGAATTTTTGCGATAATACCATGTTTWATTAATTGTATTAAGTTAATAATAAAGTTAAATAGTTTACTCGGTAAAATGTTCAATTTTTCAAATTTCAAACTCCTGAATATTGATTCAAATACATTGACAAGATAACAGGATAACGTAACCATTAATAACACGGTGACCATAACCAATGTTAGTCTGGGACACGCAAACCAATACGTTGTAGATATTGGAATGATCTATCCTCTATTTATTATCCATGGGTATCTATAATACTAAGGTATTGACTATTGAACTGAAATCGTTTGCTCCCCATAAATTTTAGTTTGGAAACTAAGCCCGGGCAAACGTAAATTGCGCCCAACGAAAGGAAATAGTTGTAAATTGCGTCCGGTATTTTTCAGGTACAAATTTTTGTATTGTAAATTCCGCCCAATAGAAGTATTATTTTTATGATTTAGCATTACCCATAGGACACCACGAGGAGGTGACTATCACTGTCCTCCAAAAATGTTTTTTTTTTTGGCTTACTAGAAATGAATAAATAAAAAAAATAAAAAATAAAAATAGGAAAATTAATTTTTTTTTATATTATGGTATTAACAACAGTATTTTTAAAATACACATAACAGGTAACGATGAATTCAAGATAGTAGATACTATGAGCGAAATATTCTATACCCGTTTTAGACCCCGAAAAATCCCGGGCACAATTTACTATAGTAATTTTACTACCTACTTAATGTGGGCGCAATTTACAAGCGCCCGTATAAATTCGTCCAAACGATATGTTATTTTGGGTCATTCGCCCAAAAGAAAGCCCCACGAAATATCGATGGGAAATAAACTTGAATTAAATAAGTTTTATGCTGACATAATAAATTGCAAATACATCTATTATCATGTGTATTGTATGTATTTATATAGTGTACCTACTCGCAAAACTGTATACAAAATGTAGATTGTATGGTATATCATAATTTGATAATATAATTATGTTCGTTTGGCCGACAATTATTCTAGTTGAATAAATAAATCGATCGAAGCAATAATATTATATTCATTCTGTAAGCACTTTTTTACTGAATGTACTTTCGTAATGCTACATTAATTATATAGCATTACTCAAATGTATATTATATAATTGATTCTTTGAATAGGTAAAATGTTTTAGATTTTATCAATATCCATTATTTATTTTTAGAAGTATATGTGGTTTTAGAAAAAACTACAAGTTACCAGAATTGTTCATACATGTTGAGAAAAATACAATATATATGAGGTGTTACCAAATTTTAAATTAAAGTTAATAATAACTTATCTAGTATATATATTAATAAATTACACAATAATATAATAAACAACTGCGATCATTTATCTTTCATTATTTTAATTTGGATTTTCTTTAGTTGCGCATATTGTGACAGAGGGTGAGGTTGGAAATAAGTATCTACCTACCTACTCATCTCCTATCATCTGCAATAGTCAGTCAAATATAAATTGAAATAATTAGCGATAGATTATTAAATATTGCCAATCCATAAAGTTATTAAATCTATGATAATACACAACGCCTAACCATCTATATGAATACAAGACGAGTATATATGATATAACTGATACTTTCTTCTGCATCTACTTCCTGATACCTAATGTCTAATACTATTTATCTATACTTTCTATATATGCCGAACAGCTGTTTTTTGTTTTTTTAGTAAATTATAACTAAATTCGTAATTATGAAGAATAAACATTGATTTGTGGTTCTTAAATTATTTTAGAAATAAAATGTTGGCACTCGACGTATCTATCGACCCGTAAGAGCTCCTTCGACCAGATGATTTTTATCTATATATTTAAACATTCAATACAAAACACACATTTCTAAACAGATACAGTGGTTTATTATTTCGTATTAGTGTTTATTTTTGAAATTAGTATAGCATTAACAAATAAGTTATATAAACAATACATATGTAGTAAATAATAAACCAACTGTAAACTAACTAATATCAACTGACTATTATAATTATTATGGTGGCCCAACAACATTAATATTTAGAGTCATTTAATTAGAAACGTTAAGGTTGTACTTTGTTGTACCAGTTTGCGCACAGTGTAGACCCAAGATTACAATATACAAAATAAATAATGATAAGAAATATTATTTCAAAATTGAATGTCTAAGTAAATATTGAATTTTATTTAAATGTCGAGTTCATACAATTTTTTTGATTAACTGTTGAAATTACAGTGCATATAAGATGAGATTAAAAAAATATTTTAGAATAATCAGTATAGATACCTATCTAGGTGGCAACGTACAAAATAATTTAGCACTGAATGGGTTAAGAGGACAATCGGCAGTKATAAAGGGTAATTATGAAATTTATGGATTATATGTTTTTCTTCCATGTCAAACAACTTTATTATTTTGCTTCAAACGCAAGGCACATACAACACATATTATTTTGTTAATTATAATAATAATAAGGATTATGTATAATTCCGTCGCATATAAATCMTTCACAGGTCCTGACTATACAAAGATTGCATCTTTTTTAACCACCTGTGGTACGAAATACGTTGTTGTAACAACTAGAAGATTGCGGGGAAGGWAGTGGTGGACTAATATTCTTAAGACATTGCTGGCGTCACCCACATTCGTGACCCTCGTAAACATGGTCCATAAATTTTTGTTTAGCGATTAATAATATTATTTTAAGTGGGAAATAACCCTGAAACGTTGCATATAACRTTAATCCCAAATTGTCGAGGCACAGTAGCAAAATTAACATTTTAAGCACGCATTTTTTTTTTCGTTTATTTATTTACCCGAGGCGTTTTCATACTTTAAGGGTGCTTCACCGCTGAGACAAATATTGCATTTGTCGCACGACTTCTTGCAAAATTAAAACAAACTAATATTTATGCGTTCCATAAGTTGTTCGTTATTCTTTTTTATACGCGCATTATTTAAAAGTATTACAGACGGATAATGGCAGAGAGAGAGAGAGAGTGAGAGARAAAACGGCACATATACACACAAAAGAACTAACTCTCCAATAATGTTAAASCCGGAAAATATTGGAGGRGAGGGAGGCAGACGCGATTACGGAACTTTTATTTTGCAAACGTTATTATGAGCATTAATATTAAACAGCGGTGGTGAAACGGMGTGTGCGTTCTAGACTAAGACTCGCAACAGGAAAACGAAGCAGGTGCAATCTTCTAAAGTGAACCGTAAATCAAGGTATGCTTAGCCGCACACTTTGGAGATAAAAAAAGGAGTGGAGATAAAATGTGATACTTWAGAAGTTAACAAATGAATAAATTATGATCACGCTATAGACGTGCACGCAATACTGTATTATTATTATCGTACAGGTAGGTGCATATACTATGYAATTGTGTGTAAAGTATTCCATGACTAGACGCCGTCGTATACCTCTGTTCAATAAGCATACACATTAATATATTTCTAAACGGATCATGACTTCGGTAGTTCTAACGGTCTTACACTCTGACGTGAATTCGTTGATTGTGGTGTACACTGTACGTATGCTTTAGAATTTTTCAAATTTTCAAATAATCTTGTTATTATATCTTTACCTATATTTATAACTGCAAWAATGTTCTACCACGATACCGTCGACACTAT